CCCCCCCCCCCCCCCCCCCTACGGTTTAATTATAAAACGTGTTAAACTAATTGAACCAATCTGATTTGAATGAATTACTGATTTTTGTAATGTAACAATGTAATACAAATTAAAACATTGTATGAATTTAGAAAAAAAAGGAAACGTTTTTTTCTGGATCCTCGTGGCTTTTCCCCTAGCTTTACTATTTTAATATAAATATATAGCAACGGATTTAGATTTGATGTTATCTAAGTCCGTGATATAGCATAATGGATTATCTTAGTTGAAAAGATCGATTTGGAAAATATATCTTTTAATTTCATTAAATTAATCTATCGTTCGAAGGAATCCGATTCAATTCAAGTTAATCCTGTCTGAGGTTAGTTTGACAGTTAAATTTAAGTGAAGGATGATCATCAATATTGTCAGTCTAGGACCGTTATCTAGGGGAGACAGCGTGTGGTCAATTTGTCGACGTCCAGGTGAGAGGGCGGTCAAATCTCTCCGAATCTGTCGTCTGCTCGTTAAAAGTACGCAATAGCTCTCTCTGCTTGGATCGTCAACAACCCACTGTAGACCGAATGTACACTTTCACTTCAAAATCTCACAATTCTTACAACACGCTACTAAGATATTTACTCAAAAGAATCCCATGAAAAGATATTTGTAAAAGGATTTTAGACACACCGGTCCCGTGAAACCCACAGCACATGCCATCAGTCCGACATGGTTCGATAGCTAGGACAAGTGTACTACATACTATACAAACCCTAGCAGATGACACATGTGTATGTTAGCGTTATAAAGGTAAACCCGTTCACTCAATATTAACGAACTGACAGTTTCACTGATAGAAAAGTAGGCACCCACCTGTCATCATAAGCGAAATCAGCGTCCAATGTGTTAAGATAGAGAACTAGGGCGAGTGAACTCGTCGCCAGAATAGAGTATTCCATCCTTCTCCATATCAAGCCATCGTTTTCACTGACAACTGGAAGAAACAGTTACTCCACTTGTAACCCGCCACGCGCATGCCCGGACGGTCTATAGCTAATATTTGGTCTGTGTGTTCGCTTTCATACTTGAACAGATCTAAAGTGCCCTTTCAAATAAAGGTACGCTGTCAACGCGAGAGTCAACGCGAGAGAGATGTACATGCACGCATACATAAATAAATAACTACTAATTCAACTATTTGAAAGGCACAGCTGTACTAAGGCGGGTTTTTTTCAATCGGAGATTTACAACCTTCGCAAAACCAGAAGGAATGACATTTCTATAGTTTGGGCGTTTGTTTTCTGTTTTAAGCTGTTTTAGATAGCGTTATCTTTATTTCCTATGTAAAACTGCATGTATGTAAACAGTGTTGTTCATTTCATAAGCTTTACAAGAGTGGCAACTTCAACTTCAGTCCAATGAATCGAGATAAAATATTTTTTTGGATCTGGAATCATTTTTTTTAAGATCTAACACTCAACTCTCCTCAGTCCAAGATTACAGATTTGCTTATAATGAAGTAAATTTGATAACATTAGATTCTCGTGCAGTTCCAACGGTCATCAATTACTTTTATTAGGAGAAATAACGGCTTAATTCGGAATATAGATATAGTCAGATCCATGTAACTTGGTGTCTTTTTAGCGTTCAAAATTTGAATTTATTGTTAATTAGTGTGATTTAGATTATGATATGAATTCCTATGAAATGATCAATCTTTTTATTTTCATTTGATATTTTTTTCTTTATATTTAATTTTGGTAGCGCACTGCATTTCAGGCGCCGTTGTTTACCCATCAGAGATGTAAATATACCACAATAAAAATATACGTTTTTGATCCCATTAATAATATTATGCAGCATTACAAAATGACCTCGGCTACAGAACTAAATTATTTATAATCATTGCTCTAATTTGTTGAAATGCACTTTCACTTCCCATAAACTATGAACTGATAACATCACGGAAGCTGGACCCTGGACACTGAGGAGATGTATATACATGATGACCTATTGTGTAATAGGTGAAAAAACACCATACATCTGTCTAGATCTGTGTCCGATGTGTGGTCGTACATTTCGCTTTTAAAGATAGTGCCGCATTTATCTACGTATATAGCCACTAATGCATTTCTAGGTTATCTTAGACATAAAGTCAACACCAGATGGAGAATCTATCTAACGGGGAAAGGTCGCTTTTATATATCACCGAGGTATTATCAGGAACCAGATATTTGAAGACTTGTTAGCTTAATATTACAATTCTTCAAATCGACAATTGAGAATTCCTTTCATAAAGCACCTACACACAATAGTGTTATTTTCTTTAAAATATTCTACAGTCATGTTTTAAATCCAAAACTAACGCGCTATTGTTTCAAGCTTTGATAATGATGACAGTATGATCGTTACAAAATTCAGTTAATTTGTTTTTAAGATGACACATTTTGATACAACGGGGTAATTTCGACCGTTTTACAAAGTCTTGTTAGTTACACATTCAATAACTAAACATTCAAACGTTTTATTTTTTAAATTTCGTAAAAGTCCTGTTTTGTTGTGTTGTCGACTTAATATATTAATTTTATTCTCTTTTGATTCATGTTTACGTTTTTGATTTATTGTTTTTTTAAACTGTTTTGGGTGCACACAAAGTTAACGCTAACTTATAAGTAAGTTGATAAGGCCGCGAACAAACGGTTAATTACATCACTACATATAACAACTTCTAATTATATAAACAGTTTATCACTGGAAACATCCTAACATTACCGGGAATATTATATCAAACATTCCTCTGTTATTATTACACATAGCTATCTATCATTATATAGCACAGATTAAAAGCACAAAAGTCATCTAAAAAATTGCGTTTTGGTGGACAGCAGTAAATATGGTAATAACTCAAAGGTCTTTACATGATCGTCATAAAAAGTGAAAATATTAACTCATTCACCCCTTCAGACACATTTGAACTCTTCTAATTCAAACGTTGAAATAGTTCATTATGAAATTTCAGGGGTGAATGAATTAATCGATGTGAGAGTACAGTTTGAATTAAGGATCGCCGTAACACTGCCTGTGAGGAATTGAAAACCAACATAAAAATAGCTTTAATAAATCATTTATGAAAAGAAATCCATACATGTATGTACCTTGCAGAACATTAATGCAAAATTAATAAATAAAAAGTATTCTAAGTTAAAAAATAAATACAATGGAACGAGACCAGAATTCGAACCATTGGCCTATAGCTAGCTATACCTGATTATATTCAAAAAGGGGAGGTTACTGTGTAATGAAAAAACTATGGTAGACTTTTCCAGTGTTATGCTGCCTGCATCATGACTTTAAAGAGAAAACTCAGATAATTCACTTTTGAAAATTCATACTACACACAAGTACATTTCCGCCCCCCCCCCCCTTTTTTTTGAGGGGTTGTTATTCTCGAGGGTATTTCGCTAATATTCATGATTCAAATACGAAACGTATCTAAAAGCATAAAATAGTGTTAGTGCGAACCATGTAATGTTTCAAATTTTCGGAATGCTTCACCCCTATTATTCTGCTATATAAATAGTAGGTAAAAAAGAAATACGTAAAACGCCATTGTTATGATAAAAGAGTCACAATGTTCATTGTTCTTTTTCTGTATATTGGGGGTAATGTAAAATGGTATTAAGGGAGACAACTCTCATACACTCATAGATATATAGCTGAATGTAGCATGCAATCTTAAGTCAATTCTCGCTTAAACTGTTCTGGACCGTTCTGATTGTTGATATTGGCTTTTCATTTGCTTTCTAAATGAAACTAATTAAAGTTATTTTTTAACTGAAACGTTTTAGTCATTCCTTATTTTGTCTTCGAAATGTCAACGAGTGACCTTGAATTCTGAACACGATATTGCGACAGACTTAAAGTTAATTGCCTCGTCATAACGAGTAAACTGTCACTATCTTCATTAGGCCCATTTGCTTAATGACGCTGCGTTCTACTACTCATTTAATGAGGAGAAAACCCCCATAGTTTGGAGCTTAACCGATCGTTGTCCGCCAAAACACATAACTGGTCAATGTGAACGGATTTAAAATATTTATGTTTTCTAGACACGACGAGGTTCCTAAATTGGAAGAGAGTCATTGACCTGATTCGGAATAAAATTTGTAGGGAGTATTATCAGACAATTAAGGGGTTTAGATCAACACTCGGTAAAAATGCCACCCCAACCAAGGTATAGACTAGTCTACATATAGTAAGATTTCGGATGGGGAGATTTTATTCTCAATGCCCTGTGTCTTTTTAATCACTCCGGTGACATGTTGCATTTATATCATATGGTCTGAGACACAGGTACTGGACAAACCAATCGTAATATGATGTGTATATATACTTAGTACTATTATATAGTATATACACATCATATTACTATTAGTGTATCCAGCACCTGTGGTCTGAGGGGCATGTTTTGCAACCATTACAGCAGTTATAAGACGGTTTCAATTGATCTTTTAGGCAATAAACATCGAGGTACCTATCGCGAATTAGAAAATGAAACTACTTACTATATATATATATCAATGACAATGACAATTGTTTTACTCTCATAAACAATACAGTGTAGAGAATACATATATACAAATGGGTGGCAATAATACATGGTATATCAATGCAAGTGTTCATATCAGGTCAGCAGAGAATAGAAAAGATTAAAGCTAAATCCTGCAAATGGGGATGGGGTGGGTGGTAAGATGGAAGGGCGGGTGCATCAGTTGGCTTCCACGGCCATTCAGTGAGACACAACAGGTCTATTCTAAGCGTATTAGAATAGGATGTCCATTACCAACCTTGACTCTAAGAATGTAATGCTGCATATTTCTTCGATTTTGCGCCCTTAGTTTCACGAACTCATGTTTCCGTAACTAAATGTCTTACTGTCTTTTTTATTGTTTCCATGGCACTTGAATTCCTGTCAGGAATCATTCGAGATTTTCTACTATAAAACCTGCCTTTTTGGTAATGTTTTACGGGAACCTCCGAACCGAAATAAGCCATTGACAACAGACTGGCACGCGTCCCAGTACGACAACGGACTAACCAGGGGAGCTCAGCAGACACAATCGAAAGGGAAGCTATCATTGTGTCCCGGAGAAGAGGAAATGTAAGGAAAAGGATTTATCGTGAAAGGTTTATTAATTGGCGTAGAGGCTCCATTGGTTTTCCTATTGTATACGAGCTATACGTCTCGAATATTCGACACTATACCTTACTGTCTTCATTAGTTAAGACATGGCGCGGGCACACGTGAACACTTATTGAAGTGTGACAGGTGTCGTTAGTCAGGTGAGAAAATGACAGGTACATACAAGGTGACAGACCATATAAGTACCCTGGTATTGTCTGTGAAAGGTGAAGTACAATGTAACGTGAAGCGGCTAGCCAGTGTCTACCCGAGATAAAATCAACCATACAGAAACTCAAAGATAAGCATGATGATGGCCACGCGTACCCCAAAAAGCAAAGACCGTACAAGGCTTAAATTGTAACAGTAGCTAGGAAGGAAGTTGTGAATAGAACGTATACTTCCGCTGGAGGTCGCACCTCAAACTCTGGACGCGTTAATTTACTGTTGAGCTAGTCGAAGCTAGCTATATATAGTAAGGCTACCTCCGAGTCCTATGTATTACATATGATAAAAAGCACAGGGACCTGATAATTTGTTTTCATCATTGGGGTGGCATTTTTACTAAAAGTTGATATAAACCCATAAAACGTGTAAAATTACTCTGAACACCTTAGTTTAGGTCCAAATATAATTGTAACAAATTATCAGGTCCCTGTGATATATACGTCTCTGCATGGTTACAATGCCACTATATATATACTACTCACATACTTTTACACTAGCTACTCTGCTTTTTTTCTTTTTCCTCGCCTCCGAAGATTACAATTAGCTTTCCGCCAAGGGTTCTCAGCTCCGGAGCATATCAACTCACAAAGCTGTAATTTAGGAGGGAATACATATTTACTTTTAATGGGGATCGAACAAGCTATATGTAGCCATTAAGCTCCAGTCGGGCGTTCTATCGCTAAACTCAAAGG